ATATAGTTGTAACCATGTTTGATCGACTAGTTAAAACACGATGTTCGAAGACATCAAAATGGTATGACATTCGTCACCCGTAGACCTACAGTTCCTACTGTAGCTAGTAGCAATGTGTAGGATAGTCAGTCCCGTATAGATCTATACACAAATTCAGTCTCTCCCTCCAGGAGACTCTGGTTGCAAAACGTGACACAACAGTATATTTCCATGCCATGAAGTAGTGGCTCACATTAATGTTATAGTGTTCTTGTATTTGTATAGTGTGTTCTCTAGTGTATTGTATGTTCTCTTTGTATAGTGTAGTGTATGTTCTCTTTGTTTCTCATTATAATATGTTCTCTTTGTTTCTCATTATAGTATGTTTGAACTGACTCATGTATGAACTGACTCTTGTATGTTTCATTGTACTAGAAATAGTGAGTAGTAATCCTCTAAACTATACCTATTATAGTTTACTAGTAATGTTGTTTGCGTGACTGAGTATGTTTGTACACCTTTGCTACCCAAAGGTGCTGAACTGATGTAAGAACTTTTATATCTATACACATATACATAATATATAACTAAGATTCAAACGAAACTCGGACAAACAACCGGATACTCTAAGTCCACAACCAAACAAGGAATAGGAAATAAAGTGAGTTATCAGTCCTAAGCCCTTTCAACCTTACTTATATAACTATATATATATATATATATATATATATATATATATATATATATATAGACATGATTTTGACAATATATAAGTTTAAAAGAGTTTTAATAAAGAGTTTAGCATGTAAAAGAGTTTTAAACATTAAAAGAAATTTTAACCATTTGAATGGTTACAGACGACTTGATGTACGCTTATAAAAGGGTTTTGAAATCGTTTGTTTGATAACACAGTTTTGAAGTATATGAAATCCACTTGTTGGTAGTTATTAATCACATGTGATTGATATAATAACTATAATGTTTCTACTTGTATTCCCCCCATAAAAGAATTTAAAATCATTTAAAAGATAAGTTAAGGGGTATGAACTCACCTGTAGTGAGTTATACGAATGTAAGTTCAATATAGGTTGCTATGTGTCAAGTGAAGCCTCGAGCACAAACGGATCCTATTAAGCATATAATGACACATATATGTATATAATTAGTGTATATACATCTAATCATGCAAGGAAACCAGCTTAGGGACTAAGAAACACTTATATTGAAGTGTTACAATAACATATGATTGCATCAAAGGAGTTTAAGGCCACACAAGGGTGTGCATGGCCAATGTGTGTACGACCGTTGTGTGTACGGCCACATGGGTGTACGGTCATGGTGTGTACGGCCGTACACTAATGGAAGAAGCATGTAAAAAGGGGTGTTTATGGTCCTATCTAGCATCCATTAAGTGTTCATGATCTTATGTTGGGACATGAGGTGAGTTTGAGGCCAAAACATGCACTAAACAAGGGTTTACGACCATATGAGGTGTGTACGGCCGTACACCCTTGGTGTTCATGCATTAGATGATGATTTAAGGCTAGGAATCAAGTGTTTCCCAAGCCTAACTAGAAGATAGAAGAGAAACTCACACTTTTGAAGGTTCCTAAGGAGTTCACGGCCCAAGAACAAGTAGGTGTTTTTGGTGTTCTTGGTGAAAGTGAAGAAAACTTGAAGATCTAACCAAAAGAGGAAATTTCATGGATGAAAACATGGATCTTCACTAGTTAAAGCCTTGTATCAACTAATCAATGGAAGGAATACTTACATTTTTGAAGATCAAGGTGAAAAGCTTGATGATAGTTGAGAGAGAATTGGATTTCTTGAGTTGGAAATGTGAGGAATGAAGAAAAATGAAAGAATCTCATACATAAGGGCATGAGTTCACGACCACCTTCGTACACCCATGTGTACGGCCGTACACTCCTCTTGAAGGAGTGTTTGGCCCGAATGTAACACTATGAACTTAAGATAACTCATCCCTAAACCCAAACCTTGAATGCACTAGGCTTAGAACACTCAAACAGACCTTAAACAATGCTAAAAGATAGCAGAAACGAGTCTGACTTTGATTGAATTGAATGGCTGTACAAGATAGAAATTTCGGGTTGTCACAGTTTTTCCGGTTTCCGACGTTGTTTTCCGGCCACACAACCCTAGAGGAACTTCCACTCCATGAACCCATGGCCACACAACCATACAAAGAGGATAGAAAACAAAAACCAAAAATCTATGGCACGAAAGGCCATACCACTAGGAACCATAAAAATTCGACCCTCGTGATAACAACTACCATGCACCATGCATAGACTTAGTTAAGAGGTATTAGATTAATCAATTAAGATAAGCTAAGCAAAACCCATTATTACCGGTCATACTGATATAATGCATACGTTTCAACAAGTTCAAGGGTTAATAAAACACGAAAAATAATTTAGTGACCAAATGTGACCAAAAGCTAAAGTATGTTCTCTCAAGTCATTATTCCATTAACAAATCAAGAATGAATAGTAAATTTACACGGAATTCATACACATCAAGAAAGTAGTCGAGATAAATATGCATACAAAGGTCCAAAACTGAAATGAGAATGAACCGGATAAGTTGAAAACCGGATAAAAAAGATAGTTTTTTTTAAGCATTCACCTAATTTAGCTTAATATATTGCATTTTTAGAATTCAAAATTTCAATGGATACTCACCGGAAACGTGCATATTTATTCATCAATTTTTATTTGTAATTTATATTACCATGTTTTATTCATATATGTTTTTTACATTAGGTTATTTTTATAATTTTATAAAAAAACAATGTTATTTATTTCATTGGTAGGTTTTTTTTTTTTTTTTTTTTTTTTTTTTTTTTTTTTAAGTTTGTTTAATTTATATTTCTTTATATAACATGATACGTTTGCGGTTAGCAAATCAAACTTTTTACAAAAACAAATATAATATTAATTATTTTTATTTTTATACTCTATATATTATTATAATTTATCAACCAAGGATTGCACAAGTTATAACCTAGTTTATTTTATGCTACATGTCACACTCTCATTCATTGTTACATGTCATTTTGTGGTTATTTTAAATTAAATTTTTTTCACATGTTATTTTATGGGGTTTTTTTTTCCATTTTATTAAATTCCATATAATATTCAAATGTAGTAATTGTAATAAATGTAATAACAAATTTATATCAATTTCTATAATTCAGTATTTCTCACTTTCCTTATAAATTCAAACTTCCTAAATGTTTTTCTAAATGTTTAGACCATATATATATATATATATATATATATATATATATATATATATATATATATATATATATATATACTTCATGTATGATCATCAATTCATCATCATGCACATAAAACACCTCATGTATTAATGTTACATGAAATATGACAAAAGTAGTTCCAGAAATAAAATTATGACATTGTTGTGGTTTTGGACCTTGATCTTGAGATCATTGCCGAGAAGTGTTTGCACCATTCTTGTTCTTCCTCAAATGTCAGTCACAACACTTCATGTGACCATGTTTGTTGCAATTCTAACAAGTTTTGGTTTATTGTTGGAACCTTTGCGATTGCCATCTGCCTTCTTTTGCTCTTCCTTGTTATTTTTCTGGTTTTTATCATCTTCCACCATAGTGATAGAAGATTCAGGAACGCCCTTTTCCTTTCCTTTGTCGCTTTCTTGGATCTGTAAGTCCTCTTGAATTTTTAAATGGCAGCCAAGTTGTATAAGAGACAACCCTTTTTTGTGTTTTAACATGTGCTTGAAATCCTTCCAAGATGGGAGGTAATTTGTCTATTACACTTGATACATAAATGGACATATCTATTTTCACATTGTGTTGTTAAAATTGTCCAAGTCTATGAATGAGTTCATTGTACTGTTCAATGGCATGCCTCAAATCCATCATTTTGTAATTGTTAAAATTACTCACAATGAACATCTGACTAAAAGCATCATCTTCCATGGATTCCAAGGCATTCCAAAGGTCTTTTGTGGACTCATGGTTTTGATCGATATCAAAGAGGGGTTAGACATGTCATTATTCAAGATGTGTCCACAACAAATGTAGTCGCCGTTTTCCCACTGGCATCGACATCCGACGAGTTCCACAGTTTCGTCTTCTTGGACTTCCGATCCCAAGGTACTCAAAACGTGAACAAATTTTCTAAAAGAACTATCAATAAATTACTTCCACCTACCTTAAGTCTACAGTTCAAAGCACATACATTTAGTGTAGTTGGGATTCTATTTGAGACAAGTTGAGTTCCATTTGGTTATATTTCGAGACATGAGGTGCGAATTGTACACTTGGATAGCTAAATAGGACCCAGGAACACGGGGGTTTGGGGCAGCGCGCTTGGTGGAGTTCCAAGAGGCATCGCCTTAGCGGGGTCCATGAGGTAGAGCCCCTCGCGGTTGTCAAGCTGTCCAGTCAGCAGGAGGGGTCAAAGGGGGTCGGTGCCACCTTAGCAGGGTGCGGGGCAGCTACCCGACCCAAAAAATAATATATATATATATATATATATATATATATATATATATATATATATATATATATATATATATATATAGAGAGAGAGAGAGAGAGAGAGAGAGAGAGAGAGAAAAGGGCCCAACCAAAATTTTTCTTCTAAAAAACCAAGGTTTGCGTCCGTTACAAAAGGGAATATTGTCGTTGCAGAAGATATAACAGATTCGGGAAAACTGCTTCGTCTTCTCTCTACAAAATTGTCTCTCAAGAACAGAACAAAAAGCAAAGTATCCAGTGTTGGAGTGTTGGATTTGGCCTGAAATTCATATTTATTCTTTCTCGGGTTATCCCAATCGGAGTTTGTGATACCCGTGCAATATGGTCGAAATCACAGATTTTGGAAAATATTCTATATACACGATCCTTGAATTATTCAAGTAATTTCATTGGTATTCGATAATTCGAAACCCAAAATCTAACAACCCTAACCATGGTTTGAAAAACTAAACAATAGACAAAAATAGACCCATACTATACTATGATGTTCTTTTCTTCTTTGATAATTTGGAAGAATGTCCTACATTGCTTCTTTTTTTTTTTCACTCTTATCTTTTTGTGTCCCATGTTTATGTTTTTCTTCCTTGGTTTTGGTTTTACTTTTACTAGAAGACTTGACACGAATTACACCACCTGAGGGTATCTTTCCACTACTTTGGAAAGCACTCTCAAAATCCACTTCATTGTCATCAATCGCATACCGCTCAAGAAAGTCCGGATTCAATAATCCATCACTCTATGCCTTCATATCATCCTAATATTCAATCAAAATAATTATCTGTTAGTAACAGCCATACGCATTCACATAGCCACATGAACAAAAAACAAAAACAAACAAATCTTCACTTTCTTTGCAGCTTCATCAAGATCCTCATCCACAGAAATCAAATATGGTTTCAACATAACCTATATATAAATAACCAAATTAGGGTTTTTAGGGTGAAATGAACGAATTTCTTGAAAGAAAGTTTTTACTTACTTCTTTGATTACGTGAAGAGTGGCACTGAACTGTTTTGAAGATGCTGAATTCAAATATTTCTGAAACTTTTTCATGACTTTCATGAATAATGAAAATATTTGTTGTCTTTCCAACTTCATCACTCCCTGTACGTTAAAAATAAATAAACACTTTTTAAGTACTTAGAAAAAAAAACTCGACATATGAATCATCTTGGTTCTGTAATCCCATGCATAGTAACACAGAAGCTTGAGCATATGATAATGTAACTAGAAACTTCTCCTGGAAGTATAGGTATGCAAGAGGCAATTTCAGGTCTGCAATCTGTAAAATATATAGAAAATATATATTAATTAATAAATGCAGAAAGACGAATAAAAAGATGTTAAAGTTAAAAGAACTTCAGGGTAAGGTTCTTATGAGATGATGATCAACAAGGTAGTTGACATAAACTTCTAGTCTTTTCATACTGAATGGAGATTTGATGATGTCATCATATATCCCATGTGAAATTATCGTTGATGAAGGTTCTTCTACATTAGGGAAGCTGAGTTTTGGATCCAAGATAGTGTACCTCATTGCAAGCTTGTATTCCATTGTGTTAAATCTTGGAGAACACAAAAGCCTTGCAAATGCTGCCTTAAAAGCTCGATAAAAATCACCAAAAAATCCCAATTCATTTGATTCTTTATTAACTTCATCATCATCAGATGTTTCCAGCGGTTTTATAACCATACATGTGTGTTCACCAGCCACAGAATTCTGATCACAAATTATATATTATGAAGATGATTATGTAAGCAATTTAAAGATTAAAGAGAGATCTAGTAATAAAAAGTGAGACGGCCTAGCTGGAACTTCACAGATGTAAAATGGATAAAGTTTATGTTTTCTCCAGAGAACAAGTAGTGAAGCTTTTTGAGGCTTTCTTTAACGGAGACCTACAAGTAGAGGAGGTAGGTTGGAATTTGGATCTTGGCTTTATATTTTCTTCAACAAGAAATGACACCTGGAAAATACAAATTTCAGAAGCGTTTATATATCCAATTAAAATAAGTTTTACTAATATGGAAATCCATCTCACTTTCTCAGTAGCTTCAGTGATTTTGAGATGTGGAGACTCTGGTTTGTTTTGGACACCATCTTCCTCAGATATGGAAGTGCATTGACCTTCAAAGTACCTATAAGAATTTACTATGTGATCAAATTAAAGGGGTGTATATGGAAATACCAAAAATATAAACATGTTGGTTAAAGTAGCTACATTGACAACAATTCTATGGCAGTTGCAACGTATAAGACAACAATTATTTACTATTGAGACAGATATTGGAAATATTATATATGATGTTCACCTTCATTGCATTTGGATGTGTTGCGATGAGGACGATTCTAGCACCAGAAAGACGTGGAAAGTCTTTTATCTTGGAATTGTTCACAGAATTTCCATGGAATTTGGTTGATGACCACAACTTAAGCTTCTGAGTTGCAGAAGCTCGTGAAGTTTTTCCTTCAAGACATACCTGCAGTACAACAATTTAATAAGCAACCACTTTTTGTTTTTTTTAGGCAAACCTGAATGACACAGAGAATTAATAGGACCAAGTAAGACAAACAAGTGATGAGCTGGCGCATCAGCCAACAATTGAAGATCATTTGGAGAGTTTAATTTTATAGTGAGAAGCAATGTATAAAGCCACCATTCTCTAAATAGTGTAAGAAGAAGTAAGTATGTACTGATACAGTGATATTATATGCATGAATTATATAAACTAAAAACAATCAATAAATACCTGAAGAAATAACTCATGATACGAAAAAGGGTATCCCGGTTAACATAATAAAGATCACACTCACTAGGAGGAGGTAATATGTTGATATTAGGAATACAATTTGCAATATCCAAACAAATTAAATTGTTAAGCCATGATTCGATATTTGCATATCTAATAGCTTCACTCAAATCTATCTTCCTAAAAAGCCTACTTGCATTGAGTTGGCAATTTGAAATAAATCAAATCATTTTCTTGAAATAGAACTAAATTATATTTTCTATATAATCACCTTAATGGCTTATTATACCAGAAGGAACAACTTCTATTCTTTTTGTAGACGCGCGACTTTGTTCTTTAAGTTGTTCAAGTAGCTTTAATGATAAAGATCGCCATGTACCTTCATATCCATTAACAGTAGAAGAAAGGAAAACAGGATAAGGACCCAATAAGGACTTGGCAAGTGGCAGTTGAATAGATGCAGCTTCATCAACCACCAAAAGCTCAACTTATGACAGTTTTCCATGTTCATGTGGCTGTATATACTGAATTATCTGTCTGTGTTGTTTGTAGATATTTATTCTGATAGTTGCTTTTTTAACTCTGGATTTGAGCTTTTCACAGTATCGTAATCCAAATGCTCCTAAAAACATGTCAATAAAGTATTATATTTTCATATTTAATTTATATGGAAAGGTATACAATAAGAAATAGACACACGTTTTACCTTGTACTCTAGCATATTCAATCCCTTTGATACAAATTCAAACAAAGTTTTGAGATTTTCTGGGTTAGGAGCAGTCACAAATATATTTGAATACCTGAAAAATCATGTGTTAATTAGATTCATGAAGTCAACAAGAGTCAAAGGGGTACCCTGCAAGACCAAGTGCAGCTGACATTCCACGCCCTCTGCCAGCAAGTAAAGCCACTGTGCTACCAAGTGTTTTGTCCAAAATTGCATCAAGAAATGTAATCACAGCTTTTCCCTGAGTAAATTTATATAAATTTTACAGATTATGGACCTGGTAAATTTGTATTGATATAAAAAAGTCAATACCTGGTCCAAGGTGCAACACTTTTTAATCAATGGGCCAACATGAAAGTTGTCTTTTAATTTCTTTTTTAGATCTTTTAAGTCACGTTCTGCTTCAGAGCCCTTTGATAAAGAAGGGAAAAAACGGTTTTAGAAAGTAAGGAATTTGTTGTGTTAAGATACACTATAATGTTTGAGATACTAGAAGTTTACCTCTTCTACTAGACCTTATGTGACTGACTTCATGTGAGATGAGATTGGTAAGATATTTAACTCATCATCCATAACTATACATGACCCACATGATGCAAGAGAAAGTAGAAAACGTTCATAGAAGCGTCTGGTTGATAAAGAATGAGATTCTGTACATAATATCTCATGAACATCCTGCAGATATTTATGAAAGATAACTTTTGAATTATACCATGAACATGATTGTTTTGGTCAAAAATCGATCAAGTGCAATTCGACCAAATTGTATGAGAGGTTGTGGTGTTAGTGTAATGTAGGTATAGAGTGATGATAAAAGTGAGACAATTGAGTTACAAGGAAAGCCCTTGATCCTTTATAGGATCTCCGACATAAAATCTTGAGAGGTGATAATAATCATCTGCCTAGTTGTATTTTATTGATTTAAATCTGAGATTATAGAGATGATGAAGATAATACAAGTACAAGTGTAGTAGTAAAGCTAATCGTGTGTGTAGTATCTGATTTACATGTGTTATTTATAGTCTAAGCTAATTAACAAGAAGTCTGAGATTTACGGGATCCTCCTTGGACAAGTATTTGCACGTTGTTTGACTTGGTATTCCCGTGTCTTAAGCTTGGTTGAAGTGATTCTCCGTTGAGAATGAGTCTTGTATTGACTAATTCTACACATGTGATAAAAATAAAATAGAATATAATTGTCATAAGTGTTAGGAAATATTAGTGATAATAATCAGGATCCCGAGGTTTTAGAAATATTAAGGATCTTGAATATGGTTCTGAGATCCTGCCCCTAACAATTGCCCCCAAATTATACCTACGGAATATAAATGTTATTTTTTAAATATTTAGAGGTATAACTTAAAAAATAAAAATAAAAGAGATAAGAAATTTTGAATTCCAAACCCTAATCAAATAGGTTTTATCCATTCCATAAGCATCATTGCTTAGTCAGATCACATTCTGTCTCTTCTGTTATTTAGGTTAAATATTGGTAACCGGCTTAATTTTTTTTTTACCTTCCTCAATACTTCTTATGATCATCTCCGGCCACCTTCACATGTAATTTCTTTCTCTTCTTTTCCTTTTGTTTTCCTCTTTTTCCCGATCATGGGCAAGGATGCAACCCGTTCTCGTGCCAGCATTACTGCCCCTCCCGAGAACGACTTCATTGATCAGGGGATCCTGGCTTATGATGAAGTCTGCTCCTTTGATGACGAAGACATGCAATCTCACAAAGCCAACATAGCTTTTCCTTCCGATGTAATCTTCAGGTCCTTCGAAGCTTCTATTCAGCCTGATTTCATTCCTCCTTCCTGCGTACGCTTCCCTGAGTATCCCTTTTCTTTGGGTCTCAAATACCCTTTTTCGGGCGTTGTTTTTGATTTCTTTCAAGCCACTAAACTTTCGTATATTCAAGCAATGCCTATTATCTGGATGATTTTATATTGGATTGAACGAGTGAATCGTTCCCACAATCTAGACATAGGTCTCGCCGAGTTGGCTTATGTTTATGATCTTTCTACTTTTGGGAATTCTCGTTTTCTATTTAAGGTCAAAACCAACAAATCTCCTCTTATTCTGAAAACCAAACAAAATGATGGAACCTGAAAGGAATTTTTTTTTTTGTGAGACGCGACTATTGCTGGTGGGGATCTCTTGCCCAAAGCTTGGGTTGAAAAGGGTATGATCTTATTTTTTGATCTTGAGGATCCAAGGATTTACTTTTTCTTATTTTGTTCGTTTTGATGCAGGTTACAAGTTCGGAGAAGCTCTTACTATTGTTGAGGATACTGAGGATAAGGTCATGAGTTTTCTTGCTTTATCTGCAAACGTCAGATCATTCAAACTTGAGTCTCCTAGCCTTTAAAAAGGTTCATCTACCACAATTTCAATGGCCACTAGTAAGGATTCTTCCCGATGTTTTTATATGTTTCAACATTAGGATCCTGAACTTATGGGGATCCTTCTTAATATGTAGGATCCAAAAACACTCGTTCTAGTGCTCGATTCATCTTGCTTGAGCTTAAAGATGACATGTCCAACGACTTGCTCATGGTGAAGAAGGAAAAGACCCCTCCTTATCTTCCTTACAAGAAGACTCAACTTGATCTTGCCATGAAGACTGCGACATCTCGCAAGAGGAAGTCGCCTGATGTTTGGTTACTTGAGAATGTTGGAACAAATGAGGCGCTAAAGAAGCTGATATCCTTCTCCCAATCCGTAAGCATTTTCATGTATTTTTCGTTTAACTTTATCCTTTACTTACAGTTTCCCTTCTTAGGCCATTGATCATGTTTCTCGTTGCCATGAGGATCTCAAGACCAAGCTTGCCTAAATAGAGCATGCTTTGAGGGAACAGGAGGGAGTCAACAAGGAGCTCCTATAGAGATTGGAGAAGTTTTTTAGGGAGAAAGCTAAGAAGGAAAAGGAGTATGTGGCCAAAATGGACGACATGATTGTTGAAGTAATGATTAGTGTTGTTGTTGTTGTTTGGGAGGCGAAAATTAAGCTTGCGGAGGATCTTGAGAATGCGGGATCCTGGAATGTGTCCGGATGGCATGAGGCCCTAGTCAAATTGACTGGCAAGCCCGCTGGTACCAGTCAGGATCCTGCATCGCAACCAAAGGAAGGAGGAGAGAAGACGGAGGCGGCTCCAGGTGGTGGCGATCAGTCCGCAGCTTAATTTTTATCTAGTTAAAAACAACGTTAATATTTTGGTCATGTAAGACAATATTTCACTTTTTGGAGGGTTGGTGGGTAACCCTTTGTCAGTCTATGGTTATTTAATACTTCTCTGCTTGCATGGTTGTCCTGTGTGGTTGTAGCAATAAGATTTTCGAGGATCCTTACATAATCAAGATCCTAGAAATTTTACACTTTATAAGAACTCTGAAAATAGTTAGTCATCAGTTTGGGATCTTAAAATAGTCAAGATCTTGTAAGATAACAAACCTTCAAACATTACGTAGAAAAAAAAATGTTTTTAAAGGATAGATAGAACCTGGTGCTCTTTAGGGTTTACCATATTTTGAGTTAGGAGAAGTTTGAAGTTGTGATTGCTTTAACATAATCTAGGAGTTTGCGTATGGAAGGCTCCTTACTTTAGGAGTTCATCATGAAAGATCCTTGTGGAGCTTTTACTAAACTAATTGGGGAGGATCCCTCTTTAGGAATTAATCGGGAATAATCCCAACTTAAAGTGCAACTGGGAAGGATCCATGTTTGATAATGCTACAAACTTTAGACATTTCTTGGTGTGATAACCCTTAAATTTCTATCTTGTAAAGTCAATCCAATCAATCAAAAGTCAGACTTGTTTCTATCACCTTTTAGCCTTGTTAAGGGTTATTTTAAGAGTTTCTAAGCCTAGTACACTCAAGGATTGTGTGTTAGGAAGTGTTAGCTTGAGATCATTGAGTTGTAATCGAGCCGGAAACACCCTCACAAGTAGTTCACGGCCACAAACTAGGTTCACGGCCATGAACCGATCTTGGGCCGTGAACTCATGCCTTATACATGAGTTTTGGCCATTTCTCTCTTCACTTCTCACATTCCAGCCGTGAATACACCACTTCTCTCTCAAGTACCATCCTAGAAAGGGTCTCTTTTCACCTCAAAATCGTAAGTATCTCATCCCTTTACTTGTGTATACTTAGAAACCCCTTTGATTCCATATTGATTCATCACTTTTCATCAAGATCTTCAAGTGTTCATAGGGCCGTGAACCACTCTAAGGCCGTGAACCCATCTTCATTGGCCGTGAATCCTCCTTAGATCCAAGCTAGGGCCGTGAACACATCTTGTGTTCTTGGGCCGTGAACCCTCCCAAGGTCGTGAACCCTTCAAGTGGGCCGTGAACCCTCCCAAGGCCGTGAACCCTTCAAGTGGGCCGTGAACCATTCTTCAGTTTGGGTCGTGAACACCTCAAGCCCAACTATGAACACCCTATCAGCCTCTTAACTTGCTTCTAACACTCTTTTGGACTCGTTTGTGTCCCGGGACTTCATTCGTGGAACTTATCATCCTTATTCGAATCTTCAATTGAATCACCTGCATAAGGTGAGTTCATACTCCTATAATCAATCTTTTAAATGTTTTAAATGATTTTAGGGGGGGGGGGAATACAAGTTGAACACAATAGTATTTTGTTAATATTTACCAGTGATAACCATCACATTAAATGATTTCTTATGATTTTATAAGTGATCAAATATATTCAAAAACTCTTTTAAAAGATGTTACATTGTTGTTTATAAAACTCCGTTTTTAAAGTACATGCTTAACTCAGTAGATAATTGAGTCTTTTCTTCAAGTCAGTAACAGTTCAAACAAGCATACTAGTAAACTATAATAGGTACAGTTTAGGGATTCAGTTCATACTATAACAAGAACAGGAAGGAACATACTATATTCTAGAACAGAAGAACAAATCATGATTCACGAAATTATACTTTACACTCCCAGTAACCTAGGAAGGGAACATATCATTAACTCATTGTTTATAACAAAATATGATAATATACAAGGTATAAGGATATATATGGGGTACATCTACAAAGTACCAGGTTATATATGGGGTACATCTACAAAGTACCGGAGTTATATATGGGGTACTTCTACAAAGTACCAGATTTTATTTATAAAGGGTACATCTACAAAGTACCAGACAATAATAAATAAAACATAGCAATATATATATATATATATATATATATATATATATATATATATATATATATATATATATATATATAACTCACAACAGTATCGACTGAGGCGTTTAGAGTACATGATTTCATTACTTCTAGTAGTCTTCCTAACAAATAGAACAATGCCACATAACTTCCTAGTAACATGAACATTCAGTTAGAAGGGGGCCTATAATGCTAACTTTATGATTCCTTAGTGGATACATTAGGGATATATATTAATCGGATCCGACAGACAGTAGGATGTGTGCTTTCCGCTTCATTTCATGTTCCTTATTTGGTTGTGGGCTTAGAGCAGATTCACACAGTCTACTATCTATTCGATCTTAGCTATATATATATATATATATATATATATATATATATATATATATATATATATATATATATATCCTGTATACACTAGGTAATCATAAGGAGTATCAGGTATGGGTCAGGTCATAACATACAAATTCAATATACCGTTTTCTAGTACAAAAACATACTTTTTAGATAGAAAATTAAGTAGGCT